TTAATAAATCACATATCTCTATGTTTATTTTATAATTAAATATTTGTGATTACATGTTATTAAAAACATTCAAATATACATAATATACAACAATTTGTTAGGGTTTTGCCTTGATTTTTCCTACTTTATTTGAAATTTATTTTTTCCGAAAAGGAATAACAAAGTATTAGCATAAATGCTTTAACTTTTCAAAAATGGAAAACATTATTTTCTCTCATATTTGGTTTATTATTTTCTTAGAGGAAAAGTTTGGAGATCTATAAATTGAAGGTTCCTATTCTCATAGCAGAATACAATAGCATCCACAATGTTTTATGGGGAGTTTAAATATTTTTCTTTTATATTAGTTTCCATATAATAATATTATGTTTTTAGTATAAGTTTTTGTCATTTAATTTATCACCGTCATGATTTGCAATTGTAAACTTCCGCATGACGCCCTAATCACTTTCGAATCCAATACAATTCACGGATTCAATAAGTCAATAATAGTAGTTATTATAACTAGCCAATTTTTGATAAAATCTCCCTATATGGTACAAACAATTTCTTCACGTCTAACATGAATATCTTTTATAAAACATAAAACTGTGAATTTTTTTTTCAAGAAAATATATACACTTATGGATCAAGTTTTATACTTGAAAACATTGGAATTCCAAATCCTACTTTTTAAAGAATTTAAGATTTGAAATCATGATTTAAAGTTAAAAGTTGAAACTTTATGCAAATTTCATAAACACAAATAGTGATTTAATATCAAAACTTTGAAATCAGACTTCCAAATCAATCATTAGTAGATGTCCTTGTTTTGCTATTTGAATTTTCCTATACCTATATTAAGTTTAGAGAGGTGCAATAATAATAAATAAAGGAAGCACAATGGGCCCATTTTGCTGCTCTCCAGGGTGTGGTATCTGTCCTTCACTTTATTTCATCATGTAAAAAGCCAAGGCAAAACTCCCACCATTATAAAAAGTGAAATTTATATACAATCCTACTAGCTTCCAACAATACTCCATAATGGTTGTCATAATAATAGTCTCATCTACTATGGCCAATAATTAAAATGAGGCAAGTTTCATAGTACGTGCATAACTTTTAATTGACTGTAGCCCATGCTATCGACACTATCGCACCCAAAAGATTCATGGTTATAACTCATAACTGAATGTGAAAAAAAATCTATGAGACGGATTGAGAATTTAAATTTTATGAATTTTAATAACATACATTATATTAGTACATACCCGTAAGCCAACTTTTATATTTGTCTATGGATGACAATCATTATCAGAGGTGGAATTATGATTTCAACTTTATGAATTCTAAATTCTAGAATGTCGACTGTAGGTGGTAATAATTTGATTCTAAATTTACTAATTTTACATAGTTAATGGCCCCATTTTGATTCTAACTTTTAATTGACTGTCGCCCATGCTATCGACACTATCGCACCCAAAAGATTCATGGTTGTAACTCATAACTGAATATGAAAAAATCAACCAAAATATATATAAGACGGATTGAGAATTTAAATTTTATGAATTTCTGTAACACACTTTATATTTATATTAGTATACACCCGTAAGCCGACTGTTATATTTGGCCATGTATGCTAATCATTATCAGAGGGGGAATAATTTTAACTTTATGGATTCTAAATTTTAGAATGTTAAGTGGTAATTAATTTGATTCTAAATTTATTAATTATACATATTTAATGAATTTCTTAACATAAATATATTATTTGAGCAAAATTTATGGGACGTTCGGCCGAACTCCTATGGACTTCTAACTAGTTGGAAAGCTAGTGTAAATCTCATCAATATTTTTTGCACCGCTCTTATAAATTAAATTTACTCCATTATCAAGAAAAAGACTAGTATTCAATAGACACGTTAATGTGACATATAGATGATTGCTTATTTCTTTCTTAGTCATTTTTTTTTTATGAAAGGAAATATTATGTATAATTTTGGCAGTATATACTTGGACCTTTTTGCTAAGATAAGAAAGATCCTGTGAAGTACTCTTCAAAATATAATACATTGAGACACAAAAAGAGAGGGTGATCCTATTGCATTAACTTCAAAAAAAACTTCTCAGGTTGCCTGTTTACAATTTTATTTAAAAGTTTCCCCCTCTTCTATTCCACTATCTATTTCTTTTTACTCAAACTGAAAGTGATGCTTAACTATTCCAATGTCAACTTTTACCAATGTTGTGTATATATACCAAAAAGAGGTGTACCCTTCTAATTAATTAATCTATGATAAGCATTTATGGCCATGGAGGTGATTTTAGCATATTATTGGGAGTCTTGAATAAAATTTCATATTATTTATTGTTGAAAAGATTTGGAAGATAAATATATTGTTCTTAGTGGCGAAGCTTTTTGAAAAATAATGTGTGGGTTTAGTTATATTATCCTACCATGTTAAGAATATATTTAGTCTAAAGTAGGATTTTGCGGCAAATATTTAGCGAAAATAATATGATTGTTGTTATATCATATTAAGTGGCATAATAAATATAAGTATTTGTAACCAATGTTCTATATAAATGTCGCTAAAGTACTTTAGCAATTCTGAGAGCCATGAAATTAACTCAATTACTGCCGAAATGTTTTTGTGGCAATGCTAAAAGAAAAATTGTTTCCACAAAATATCTCTGTTATGATAGTTTTGTTGTCAAAGATAGCATGAAAATGATGCACACAAGAAAAATCTAGTTCCAATGTGGGCTTCAGTGACCATAAATGGTTGACCGTGTGGATGGCACATGACAAATTCTCAAAAAAATTAACCTATGGATTATGGTAATGATCACATGGAATTTAGTTCAAGGGGAAAACTCGTGATTAGTGGTATGAGCCACGTGATACTTAGAAGGGTGATTATTGGGTGTACAAACAAATATGCACATTAATAATTGAAACGATTTAGAAGATCCGTAGGCAAGAATACTCTTGATAGTGTGAATTTTTTTTTAAAAAAAAATTATTAGCTTAATTTAAAGCAAATAAGAGTATCATGTTAAAAAAATATCTTTAGGTTAGATTACCCAAACACGCATACAAAATTTCAAATAAAAATTAGCACGAATGTCCAGGTATCCACCATTAATTTGAAATTTAATGGATAAATAGTCTAAATCTTTGGAGTTTGAAAATTTTCTGAAGTTCCAAATGTGTTCAATTTTTTCATAGTTTTAACTTAATAAGGTTCAAACTCAAAGAATTTTTTAATTTATACTATAAGTACTCCCTCTGTTTCACAAAGAATGATCTAATTTGACTTGACACGAAATTTAAGAAAATAAAGAAGACTTTTGAATCTTGTTGTTCTAAATTAAAGTTATGTTTAAATGTACAAAACTGTCTTTTAATCTTATGGTCTTAAACATGCCACGTGGAAAACTGAAATTAAAATGTTACAAAAAAAGAAGAAGAGGTCATTCTTTTTTAAACAGACTAAAAAGGAAATGAGGTCATTCTTTTTTAAATGGAGGGAGTAATATTTTTTGGTACAATATTGAGAAATATGCTAAATCATGTATAATTTCACTTATTGTACCTCCTGACATAAGTTTCGTAAAAAAATATTAAAGGATTAATATTTCATTCACCATAATCTTTAAATTCCAAGACTATTATTGTACCTCTTGATATAAGTTCTCAAAGAATATTAAAGTATTATTTCACTCGATATAATCTTTGAATTCCAAAACTATTATTGTACCTCCTAATACAAGTTTTCAAAGAATATTAAAGGATTATTTCACTCACTATAATCTTTGAATTCAAAGACTATTGTTATATCTCTTGAGACAAGTTTTTAAAAGAATATTAAAGAATTATTTCACTCTCTATAATTTTTGAATTTATAGACTATTGTTGTACCTCCTGATATAAGTTTTTGAAAGAATATTAAAGGATTATTTCACTCACTATAATCTTTGAATTCAGAGACTATTGTTGTACCTTCTGATACAAGTTTTTAAAAAGAATATTAAAGGATTATTTCACTCACTATAATCTTTGAATTCCAAGACTATTATTGTACCTCTTGATAGAAGTTTCTCAAAGAATATTAAAGGATGGGCACCCTTCACTTCAAACACGGAGGTTGTGAGTTACGTTCGAGTCATCAAGAGAGCAAAAAAGAGTGAGAGGTACTCGCTTCAAATTTAATTAAAGCAAGGATTATGTCCTAGAATTCTAAAAAGTCTTGCTGTAAAAGAAAAAAAAAAAACTTGGAAGAAAGTAAAAATCCAGGACTGTGTCATAAAGTTCCAAATTATACAATTGCAATCTAATCATTACTGATTGTTTTTGTTGCATGTCTCCTCAGAATGCAAAACATAATTCCGATTTTCTGGGAGATATGAAGGAGTTGAACATCACACAAATTAACACCAAGTTTAACAGATTCAAGATGCATCAGAGACACTACTCTTATTTTGCACGAAAGCTAATCAAGTAACGAATTTCATCATATAGCTAAAATGACATCTACGAATGGAAATAGTAAATTTCATCTTTCGAAAGAGGTGAACGGACTATTTAGCCATTGCATAATGCAACCCCTTAATCGAAAGAGAAGATATGACAGTTCAATTTTTAAAATTAATTCATTATGTATTCTCGTAGCCTTTTGATTTAGGTCGTACATATCTAGCCTTCTTTGTTGGTAGGAGGTTTGGTTATTGTATTTCAATTAAAAGAATGGACAATAATGATCAGGATCATTTAAATCCAAAATTTTGAACAATTGTGGATTTACAAAAGAATGTATGTTATGTACCCACCATTGACTAAAAAATACTGTAGTAATAAGAATACTAATTTATTTTTTTTGGAGAAAATCTTGAATATGAAATGGCTGCATTGACTCTGGACAAAACAATTGAATAGACAGAATAGAAAGAAAAAAAAAAAGATCGAACCAAAATCCTAATTTCACCTTCTAATTCGAACTTCCAGGGAAAAAAACACCACAAAATGTTAAGAATTTTATATTCCCAAAAACAAATAAAAGAGAAATAAAAAAAGAAGAGAGATGTAATTGCATGGAATATAAAATAAATAGGCATCAGTCACTCACATACACAGAAAGAACTGAGAAGAATCAGTTGTCAATACCCTCCGGCGGCGGCTGCAGACATCGAAGACTGTAACTGTAACAAATGGCGATAGCAGTCTGCTGCCGTCGGTCTTTGCTCCGGGTTATGGTCCAAACACCTATTCTGCAATTCCCTCAGCAATTTCGGCACCCCTACTAATCCACAGCTCTTCACTAATTGCCCTATTCCCCATACATCCACTTTCACTCCATGATAATTCCTTCCCATCTCCGGCGGATGCCTCCCGCTCCCCGTCGCCGCTGCTCCTCCGTGAGGATACAGCTGCGGTGCTGTCACCGCTTCGTCGAATCCCGTAATGAACCATTCGTTCTCCCTGTCGATTCTCCTCATCACTTTATCCCATCCCAAATCCCTGTGCATAAATGAAAGATCATGTAGTGCGACTAATGCTTTTGTGACCTGTTTCAATGCTTCTATTAATTGATCGCAATTAACTGGCTTCAATTTGCAACCTCTAGGCTTGAATACCAATGCGAGATCTTTCTCCGATGCCCTAACCACAAATTCCGCGTGTGGGATTCTATGATCGAGAAAATCGTATATCTCTTTGATCCCCAACCATTTTCTCTTACTAGAAAAATATCTCACCACTGTATTCGGAGTCATTTCCATGAAATTTCCATTCCCAAAATCTGTTCGCTCAAAATCCGTGTATGGAAGATGTTTAAAATTACTCCCGTTACTGCTCACGTAATGGAAGCATTTATCCGCTAATAATGGTAATAATCCAGCAATTCTCCAGCACGGGACTAAAGCTTTTAATCTTTCCACTGGTGTTGATAGATCCACTGTGTAAAGATCCGTTCGGATGATTCGGTCCTGTGATCGACTTAACGCACAGAAAGTAACAATAAATCCCACGGCATAGTAACCCAACACGTAAGGAAGGTCCATGTAACTCCAAAGGAATTTCTCTACAATAGAAGAGGACGGATCTAATTGACCTTCTCTTAACTGATCAGTTTCCTCTCCTCTCCACAAGCAAAAATTCCTTAAAAAAGCAGTAACATTAGGCCATTGATCTTGTACGGTCTCCGCGAGAGACGATGAAGATTTCCGTACGAATACCATTTCGATGGAACAAAACTTGGATATGATCCTATTAATGCAATCATCCCAAAGGCCAATGTAAGAATCCCGATCGGTAGCGGTTGCAGCGGTGAGACTAGGGTTTGAGCGCATAATAGAAGTCAAGACATCGTAAGTGATGCCTCTACAGTCTAATAGCTCAGTTGAGGTTGTAAAAAATAGTTCTCTCCCTTGAGGCAAGTCTTTGAACACGTCTCGTCGGAGAGGGAAACGGAGCTCCTCCGGTGGTGGCTGTTGCAAATGCCACGAGAGCTCAAACAAGCTTGGAAGAGTAGGAGGAGGAGATCTGAGACAGCCAACGTAGTACTCAGTTGGATCTTGAAATTCCCAAGGAGTAGTTGCTGCAAATGTGTGAGCCAATTTTAAATTATTTTAACTACTATGAAAAATTCAGTTGAAAATAACAAGATACTATTAATGGGAACTATGGTATAGACTAATATTAAATTCATTTAGCTTAGAAGGGGAAGAATAGAAAATTTAATGATTGGCTTTACACAAATAGAAAATTCTAAATTTATGGAAGAGACTTACATCTGATGGGAAATTCAGAAGAGGGAAGCTGCAATCTTTCACTGGGACCTAAATTGAATAGAAAATTAAAACTGTTACATCCTACAAGCTAAATATTGTAGTAGTACAATAAATGGACTTGAGCAATTAGATTAAAAAAAATAAAAATACCAGAAGGAGCAAGAGCTGGAGAAGATTTTCTTCTGCCAAAGACTTTGAGTTGTATTCCAGATTGGAATCTATCAACTGAAAAACCTTTCATGGGTCCATCTTCAAAGGCCTCCATAGTGCAAGCCACCATAGAATCATCCAAAAATGCAATTTCATCTGCATTTAAAAAACTTGAACCTTGTAGTTTTACTCTACCTCTGTGATGCTCACCTTCTTCAGCCCATAAACTCACCGACTCCTCCCATATCATCCTAATCTTCCCGATGCGCCGAAGCTCTTTTGAAGTAGTAGAAGAGGATGGACCGCCGCCGCTTATATCTAATGAAGAAGATGGTACTGTTTCAAACCCTAAGAACCCACCTCTTGTTCCATGAATGAATGTTTCAGTTCCACTTGACAATACCAATTGTTTTGCCCTCACTACATCCACACAATATATACATGTCATTCACAAATCATAATAATGTTAATTGTTTTTAAAATTAATTGTTGTATGTACGATGTGAGTAGTTAAATTAAAAGAAAGATAAATTAAATGAGTAATTATTTTTTTGTACGAGTACCAGAGTGAGGAAGCTCATCATCCCTGAAGGGTGGAGGAGGAGGCAAAGACTTGGTAACAACGAGAGGTGTACGAATATCGTCAGCAATAATATTGGACTGAGTTCCGATTCTAGTTTGAGGAGTTCTCATTCTTGAGCCCATAAATTGAGATAATTCTTCAAATACTTCTTCATCAAATGAAGCTGGCAATCTATGAATCTTCCTTTCGTAAGGGGAAAGTCTAAAATAACTTTTTCCAATTTGTTCCCTTTCAGCACCTCTCTCCCATTCATAAACTTTTCTGAATTCACCCAACATGTTGTCCCATTTAGTCCCAGCAGTTTTAGCATCTCTGTTAACTCCATGCCTGTTGAGAAACTCAGCCACTTCTCTATCTTTATCAGCTCTCGTCTTGCCTCTCCCACTTCCTCCAGTGCCGCCGCCCGCGGCTGCTCCTGGAGAACCTTCTAGATGAACGAGCTCTGATGATGAACCACTACCACTACCACCACCACCTTGGTACTGAATTTTCCAAGCCCTAGCTAGCCACAACATCTCGTTAGGTTTCCAAACCGGGCTCACGTATTTTCCTTTCCTAAATTGTTGGTGAACTTGTTCTCCTCCTTCGCTCTTGCTCGGCTCTGAAGAAGGCCGAGGAGAGTGAGAAGGAGAAGAAGCCGTGTCTGAAGAAGACGCGGTCGGTACTTGAGTTTGAGGAATATTGGTAGCGGTGGTAGTGTGAGCGGTAGGTGATATTGGGCTTGATTCCGCACTCAGTATAGTACCGGCTTTCTGCTGCTGCGAATGATGTTGTTGTTGTTGATGATGAGAAGAGGAAGACGAAGAAATGAATTTCCATTGACTTGCAGTATATCTTGGCCGCTTTGTATTAACAACTTCAAACTGTTGCTGTTCGAAAGAAACAGAAGTAGCAGCAGCAGTCGGTATATTATAAAGTGCAGAAGAAGAAATATAAGGAGCACCAGAAACCACCGACTGCTGCGGCTGCTGTAGCGGTATAGTATTATCTGGTGAATCTTGTTCATGAGGGTCAACTGGAGAGTTAGATAAATGTTGTTTCTTGGTGCTATCTCCTTTGTTTTCATCCATCTCTTCAATAAGGGCCCCAGATGGATGGGGAAAAAAATACTAATTAAACACACACACACCGCCCTAACTCTTCTTAGTCACAAAGTAAAACAAGAACCATACAGAGTATTGAGAAAATGAAACCACCATTACTTTGCTAGCTGTAAAACTAGATCTGTTCTATTTAGACTTTCTTTCATTTTAAATATACTCCATTTCAATTTATTTGTCTTAATACAGGAGTATATTTTATAAATGTCTAAATTCACAATAAACATTAGTTAATTTAACTTTCATACTCCGAATTAAAAAAAAATTATAAAAAGGATATTGAAGAGACCTATGTTGAATCCTAGGGTATCTTGAAAGGGAAAGAAAAGTGAGACTTGTATAAGAAAAGGGCAGAGAAAGAAAAGTCGAGATTGTGGAACCTGCAGTTGAATGAGACTTGACCATGAGCTCAATTTTAACAGTAAATGCCTCTCTTGTTAATATTTTAGTATTATTTTACTTGGTACTAAAATCTGATCAAAGTGGGGGCGTGTTTGGGGGGTATGAAAGAGAAAACAAGTGTTTGATTTGAGAGTAAAAGTAATGATTGTACTGAAAAAAACAGAAAAATGCGGCTACGAATGAGTTAACATTCATTCTTTTAACGAAGAAGCAATTAATGGTCTTTGTTTCCTCTGTTTGGACTTCTGTTTTTATCAGAACAAGACTTGCTTTGGATCTACTCCCATACTTAATTTTATGTGTTTTCTTTCTCTTTATTTACTATTCTTAGACTCCTCGACTAATCAATGCCTCTGCCAACTGATTAATCCATTGGCGCATGCATCTTCATTATTTCATTTTTCAACCTATTCCATAATTCACTACTACCTTTTCGATTTCAATTACTCTATTCACATTTTTAATTACATGTAATCACTTATTGAGAAAAAATAATCCTGTAGTTTGGCATCTCCGGAGTAAATGAGTGATCAGTCCAATAATATTTGTTCACTATTGATTCTGCACATTATTTAAAAAACTATAAATAAAAGGTAATTTTACTATATAACCCTTTGAATATAAAAAATATAATGCCTTGAAAAATGTAATAGGAATAAATTAGGAACTAAATGTAAAATTATCCAGAATTTCATAAAGTGGATATTCCCAATAGTATAGTGGACAACTATTGTTGGACGAGATACCTTATAAGTTAAGAGTTAAAAGTTATAAATTGATCGTATTCAATTTTGGTCTTTTGGCTTAAGTAAGGGTCTATTTGGAAAGTCACCTGGTAATTGGATTTGTTGTAATTACTACAGTAGTAATTATCAGCCTAGTAATTACAAAGTCTAGTAATTATGCTGACCTGTTTGGTTGCCTTAGTGTAATTAAACTATAATTACACATGTCATGTTTGAATGTCATAGTGTAATTACACATGTTCTGTTTGGATGCACAATTGCAATCATAAAAATTATATTAAATTTAAAAATAAAAATTAATTATTTAAAATTTATACTAGACAAATACGAAAGTTTATAAATGATATTAAACTAAAAATTTAAGATATATATTATTTTTTGAAAATATATTAATTAATAAACATATGTTCTTAACTAATATTATGAAAAAATTAATTGATTTATATTTTTTCAAATTAATATATTTCAATTGAATTGATCATAAAAACTAAAAGTATGAAGTTTCTACGAACATCGTGAAATGAATGTTTGATAAAAAGATTAATATACAAATAAAATTTCATAAATTATTAAAATGTTTGACAAAAAGATAATCTATCAACTTAATTAAAAAATGACTTACAATGTGAATTCAATATTATCAAAACAAATGAAACTGAAAATATAACATAAGTTATAAATTTTAAAAAAAAATTAACATAATACTCTTATCGCAAATTTCAACATAGCATACATAAATATGATTTATTTTTATTTTAAAAAAAAACGTAAGTCTATAACCTTACTTAACAATAAATTCTATTTTAATTCAAAAATTAGAATACTAATAAAATTATGCCAATGAGAAAATAAGCATGGCATAAAGAAATAGATAATAAGAAAAAATTGCATAGAATCACGTAGTAAGGTTGAGAATGAGAAGAAAATGAACTATAATAACATAAATAAAAAATAAAATTTTAGAATAATAAAAATAAAAAAAGAACTTAAAATAATAGAAATAAAAAAATTAAAACAAAAAAATAAAAATAGAAATAAAAAGAAGAAAATAAAAAGTAATCAGCTAGTAATTACATCAGCAATTCACATCCTCTCCATGTGAATTGGAGAGTGTAATTATCCCCCTGCCAATTACACCAATTATCTGCTGACCAAGTAATTACATGTCCAACCAAATATGATAGACAGTGTAATCACACCCAATTAGACCAAATCCAATTTCCAGGGTGGCTTTCCAAACAGGCCCTAAGTGCTTAAAAACACTTTTTGTTTTTTTCCAAACGCTTTCAAAAATAAATAAAAATGTTTATAGGTCAAATACTACTTAAAATAAGTCGATTCTAACACCCAAAGATTACTCTGTTTGTTTTAATTTATTTCACATATATTGACTTGCCCGAAATTCAAGAAAATAGAGGAAAATTTTGAATCTCATGGTGTTATGTTAATGTACCAAAATATCCTTTACAATCTTAGGGGTCGTTTCAATGATAATATCAAATAGTCCTGGGATTAAATTTTAGTGTCACTTAATTTGTTGTTTAGTTGACATGTTCAAGATAACATATATCAGAATTAATAGTTAGTATCGGGATAAGTTATCCCTCTCCTTGAGTGGTATAGTAATTTTAATACACAATATACAACAATTCAATAATTAGGACTAGAATTTCAAAAAGAATCAGGAACTCAAGACACTAAAATCTCAACATCAACTCATCTCAAGAATATTCAAAGTTAAGGATAGAACCATAGATTACTCTTTTACTGAATTTAGATAGATGCAGGACGTGAGGACTGATAGCCTTACATACCTGGGAAGAACAAAGTTCTTGGCGAAATTGATGGAAACTTGCAGAACACTTGAAATCCTAACTTTTTCTACCCTTGAAACCTTTCTCGAATGATTTGAAGTGTTAAAGAATGTAAAAAGGATGTTTAACACTACTAAGACCCTTAACTAGGTGTAAAAGGGTCAGAATTCAGGCTTAGATGGGATGAAAAAAGTTTGAAATACCCTTAATTAATAGAAAACACACAACTCCAGGCGTGTCTAATGGAGGTCCTAACGGAAAAAAACCTCGTCAAGAGGTTGACTGCCCATCATCTGTCATCGTCAAAGTCACCTAAAATTTTTGCATGTGTGACGGACCAATTGACGGTCTGTCACAGGTTTGACGGCCCATCAGGGCTGTCGTCGGCAATTATTTTACACTTGGCTCTATTTTCAGCGACCTTTTTCCTTTCCATGTTCCGGGTCCTTACAACAACAAATCAAACACTTAATAAGAAATAATCTTAACATAACTAATCTCATCATAACTAATCATTTCATAACTTGTATTCAAACCAAACGACTCCTTATGGTATTAAAAAATGTCATGTGGAATGTTAGAATAAAATATAGGAAAATTACGCGGTTAAGCAAACTTATACTACTTAATTACTCATCATAGCTATAGTTTGCTATAATTACCACTCGCGACTAACATTATACATTTAATTACGTGGGCTAACTTCGAGTTTGTATAATTAGCCTACGTTTGTATATGTATAATTCGCCACATTTGTATAATTCGCAGCTAACAATTCTTTGTTTGATTTGTATTTGTATGTGATTGTTTGTATTTGTATATGACGATGATTTCCTTTGATTTTTTCAGTTTTGTCATCATATACATTCAATCTTTTTGTGTATAACTTTTTAAAGTTTGTATATACATGTAGTTTTTGGATTTTGTATAGTATAATTTATATAATGTAATTTGTATAATATATTTTGTATAATTGTTTAAAGTTTATACGTTTATGTTTGTATCAATTTGTTATTTCAAGTTTTATTATATTTGTATAATTTCAGACTTTATATTATACAAAAACACGTGAATTATATAAACGTACCTACAAATTATACAACAGATGAAATTATACAAATTATTGTCCTCTCTTGCTCGCCTCTCTCTACCCTCTCCCAATCTCGCTCGCCTCTCTCCTCCCTCTCCCAATATCGCT